GATTTGGGCCGTCCGATTGCGCGCACGAGGATCGCCCACATGGCCCGTCCCCTGGTCAGTGTTTCCTTGCCACGCAGCGCGTCCTGGTTGGTCGGGATTGCTGACCGGGCCGCTGACGTGGCTGCTGACGTTGCACAACTTTTCTAAATTGCATTTTGACTCCCGGTTTCCGATTTTCTTTTCAAAAACACCCCATAATCCAAATTTTCATCCTTTTTTCCCAAAATCAATTTCAATTAAATCCAAATAATATTTTTACCCAATTTTATCATTATTATTATTTTTATTTTCATAAAATTAAATTAAATTAAATCAAATTAAATTAATTAAAAATAAAAAAAAATCAAATAATTACAAAACAAAAATAATAACATTTGGTGTTACAGATTATCACTTAGTTTTTGAAGTCTATATATAAAATTATTAGTGACATCATGTAAGCTTCCTTTTTAAGATTTTACTTCATCCATTACATATATACTATATATGCTACGATATATGGATCGTATATAATGTATGGAACATATAAGATATATACATGCTTACAAATATATGTATTCATGGATACATGTGTAGTAATAAAAGTACACTTTATGTTTATTACTATAAAGAGAAAAAGGTAACTTTGATCTTTTCATTAATAATGTTTATATTTATTTCCATTGAACCCAATTTACTAATTGTGTGCGTACACATATACATACACATACAGATTTAATGTATAAAAATTCTTGTTTTTTTTTAATTTCTTCTTTATTAGTTACTGTTTCAGTCTTTAATGCTGTTGAAATTCTAGAACTAAAATAGTATCTGTCGCATATCACAATCTAAGAAATGTTGATGTAGAGCATGACTCGAGCATTGTCTACATATATATACCACACGACTCAAGCAGAGTTGAAGGAGAGAAAACTAACCTAACAAGGACCCAGAGAAGGGGCGGGCCATACTACATTTTAGCCAGTATATACCTGTGTGTGTGTGTGTGTGTGTGATATAGAAAATGCCTGCAGTAAACGAAATGCAACTTATTTTTTTCATCTTTAAAGAAAGACATTCTACAAAAGAAGAAAAAAGAGGCGCCAACGTTCAAGGGAAGGAAAAAAAAAATATAAAGAAATTAGGAAGAAGAGAAATAGAAACTAACCTCCCTTCCAAATTCCCTTGTAAGATATCATTCTAAACAAGATCATAGCAATTATAGTACACTCGCCACCAAAAGGGGATGGCATTTGGACAAAATACAAGAGAGGGATAAAATAAAAGAATCACCAAATCAGACCACTGATTCACATGCACCAGTTTTCTTCAAAAAAAGACTCCGACACCTGTTGTCGGGAATCGATTTCTAAAACTATCACTTGCTCTGTAGGAA